TGTCTGATGCTATGCACTCTGTCACCCCGGAAAACACACAACCAACCTATGATCAATATATACAGACGCTTTATTATAATGAACATCGATTATTTGGGAGGAAGCTAATCACGGTTTTGTTACGATACCGTGACGCTGTTATCTTATTGTCTGTCAATCATATCAGTGGCGGACTATGGGGTGATCAGCTATGGAAACTTCTTTTTATTTGTTTAAAGAACATTGTTTCTCATGGTTGACACGCTAGTGGTTTTCATGTGGGTCTTCTGTCCAAGTAAACTTGGTATGGTCAGGGTTACAAGTACATTAAAGTTTTAATGCTATAAATTAGGTACATTAAGTTTTGGTTACAGCTGTATGAGTACACTCTTATTACAAGTACGCTCTGCAAATGTGTTGAAAATGATAACTTATGAACAAAATAATAACAAAACACATTAGTTTATACCATAGTCTATATTTTTTATTTCTGATGTATATTTTACTTATCAGCATTTACAACACTTTTCACATACATGTTTAAAAGTGCTGCACTATTTTGTATTAGGCATCCATTATTTTCTATAAAGTAAAAGACTTCCAGCTCGCTGATACAATATGGCGACCTTTTAAAGCCAACAATTAGTGATGAAATATTTTCAACCATGAAACTCATTAAGTTGGAACGGTGCAGCATTCAATTTCGATTCGGGGGGGGGGAGGATAACATTCATGATAATGATGATAAGTACAAAAAATACGAATGCAACGGATCTTATAAAATGGGACGAAAACATTGCAACTAAGAGTTGATGGACTATTCAACTAATTAAGCGAAACTGAAGAGGGGAACCCCCTGTTTCGTACTAGAAAACATCGGAGGGATGTGGTCAATCTAATGTACACTTTGGATGAAAATGTCCTTTTCATTTCATTCTCTTGTTGCAAGGTTTAGTGTCAAAAGATAGGTTAGCATAGGGGGAAATACATTCAGTTACTGCTTATATTTTACTCTAGTTACTCAGTGTAAATACAGCCGAACATTTATCGACATAATTGCAATCAAATATTAAGTTGGTATCATCTCAGTCGTCATGTTGCCATTTATTCTAAGAATAAATCAAATGAAAAATGATAATTACTCTGCAGATTTATCTTAAAATGAAATTGGAGGCACTTTATTCTCAGTTCATTTCGTCAAAGAAACATGAGCTACACTTATTTAGTATCACTACCTGATAGTATAATATTTAAAAGCTATACTTACCAGCTTATGACCTTGGTGTGATTCTTAGAATACTGAAAGCGCGTTATACGGGAAGTTCCATTCACTCTGCATTTGTATTAGAGCCTTGGAAAACCAGCCAGTGTTTCAAACTGCCACTGCACAACGCAACCCTTATAAATTAACAATTAAAATAGTTCGCCAAAAGGTCAAAGGCTCATAATGGTAAGTGTGAATAACAAATTCAAACAAGAAATATGATGAAATGTGATGATCATCAGAAGGGATGACCCCCCCCCCCCCTCCCGGGGTATTTTGTCAATGGTGAATGGTGGCAGCTGGTAATTATGTGAATACTGATTTGATTGGTAAATGTGTATTGATTAAGATCAGAATTAAAATGGCAACTTGGTCGGTGTTCCTTTATCCAGAGTGGAGGGGGAGGGGAGAGGGGGAATGCCTATAGCCCTACTTCACCCCATCTCTCCCATTCTTTGCTCTCCCCGTCACTCTATCAGTATCCCCTCCAACTCTCTCATCTCTGTCCTCTTTCATTAACCATTAATATCTCATTGAAACTCCAGGTTCAGTCAATCACATTTTAATGCAGAAAATAAAAATCACATACAAATATAAATAATAAGTGTATGCAGTAATGTCCAAAGCGGATTCCCCCCCCCCTCCCTGTTCTGATTACATGTAACGATTTGTCCTTCATCTTCATCGAAATTTATATCCAAATATTGTGATAGAAAAGACAGTAGAATGACGACGGTTGAAACCACATTTTGGAATTGCGGTACCCACCACATTGATGATTCACCGGACTTGGGTTGAAAAATAACGCCTAGTTTTTGTTAGAGTTTGACTCTATATAACAAAACCACAATCAGGGTGAATAGGAACATGGGCAACACATGTTCTTGTGAGGGGGCGGGAGACTGCCCCCCCCTCCCGCCCCTCCCCCGTCCCTTCATAGTTGCCTATATCATGGGTAAAGCAAAGTATAGGTTCAGTGCGTGCTCTTCCCCCAACGCTATACTTATGACGTGTTATAACTTATTTTTTATTTTTTACTCTTTCTAAATAAATGTTGAATGGTTTAGATGTTATGTATTACATTTAAGGCTTATCTTACGCATGACTTAAAGATAAAAGATAATAATAATAATAATAATGGGAAAGAGTTAGATATCAGTATATGCCCATTGTGCTCTCATCCAATTTACTACGAATTATTGTGATTTACGAGTTAAAACGAGTTAAAACTGTTCCACACGTGATTAAATAATCAAGCTGCTTTTCTTGCTTGATCCACAATTAAGCTTTATTGATTATTATCGGGGGCTCCATCAAACAAAAAAGATCAAGTTACATCTATTTAGAAGTTTTAGAAGCTTATAATTTTGATAAAATACGGGCTTAACCTTGTAGTATCGCAAAATCATGATTCGGGGAAGATAGAGGAATCTAATTGATTGTGTGCATTAATAGGCCTTCTGCTGTATTTCCGATGAGTGCCTCCAATGCGTTGTAACTAGTAATTAAGCAAAGTGCAATTCAATTCCTGCAGCTACACAGTGTCAGCTTAACAAGGAAATCAAGAGTGCAATCGGAAATAGCAATAAGGGATCCGTCTATTTTGGACTACTGCTTAGGCCTATACTGGTTGACCTTTTTTCTTTCCTTCTCGATTTCTTGTCGTTTGGAATCACCTGTGGTCTTTCAGCCTGGCATTGTGGTTTTGTCTCATCATGACTTTCTTGTCCAAGCATTATTTGTCATTGTATAATTATAAGATAGCATGAACCATTAGTTTTGTAAATCTATACAACTGTTATACCCGCACATGGAATTATAGAGAGGTCACGATGGCAAAATATAGTGCATTCGTGATTATTCAATTTAATTCAATTCAAGACTTTATTCCAGACTCCGCTGCAAGAGCAGAGGTCCATATAACATATTTACATGTAGATCAATGAACAAAACTAAGATATATATGGATATACGAGAAACAAAACTAAACTACTTTAACCAACCTCTGCCGACTGTGACAACAAGCTACAGAACCAGAACTTCAACAATTAGTCTGCACGAGGTGAACCTTGTACTGCTATACAATGGGTTAACCAGCATTTTAACAATCATATTATCTGAAGTGTCAATTTTCTGAATAAACTTGAAAAATAGATTTCTTACAACAGCTTGACATGTTGGTGTATATTCACATCTGCTATCATTATTATGTAATATTAAGTATTTGGCGTCACATGACATATGCCTGCATGGGTGGGGAAAAGCAAACTGAATCACTGTGACCCTTGAGTTACACCCGGTCAATATAAAGAACCGTTAACAAAAAATGATACCAGTATAATTCATACATGTTCATCAAAGTGTATAAGTTGATTGTTTAATACACCTGAGTCAACTGCAATTCCATATCTTTGCAGTATGATTTTAGATTTAGAAATGCTGGTTGAATATGGTAATATGGGTTTTGTATCTACAATGTATGAAGGCGATATCGTAAAACGTGTGTTAGGATGAAGAGACAAGGTATAGTATATGGATAGAGTACAAAGCAAAACAAAAAAGTTTAATAATAATTTCACTTTTTTTTCATCATGCAGTCAGTGTTGATTACGCATTGAAAGGTCAATATATATAGTTGGTTTGAACTTTATCAAAAGGTTTCAAAACGTGAGATAATCTTTGTTAGCTCAACGCGTGGATGTATATAGTTGACACAAGGTCCCGTATTAACCCCATTTTAGCTTCCCTTTTCTCCCTTCCTTTTCCATTTATCTACGGAGATTCGGTTGGATTGCTTTGAAAGAAACACTCCTCGTTTACGACTTGGCTTTGTTCCATACAAATTTATGTCACGCAAAATTTGGTTGAAAAAAAGACAAGGACAAATTCATGAGTCAATTAAGTACTCCACATATTTGATATTTAATATGCACGGTGATATGGTATTGCCAAAATGTGTGTACTATTTGAGCAGGCATGAAGGTTAGTGTGAAGCTATGATGTATGTACAGTCTATACCACAGGCATTGGAATGTCTGCTATATTCTCTATCCGTGACCATAGAAATTAAAATGATACATGTATTATGAAGATGGCGCTTGAATATTTGTGGTTTTCTTTTGAATTCTGTTATGAAATGAAATATTTAGGTTGATAATCGGATGAAGATTAGTGTCATTCATATAAAAAAATAAACACACTTTACCTAAACTCTCGTGAGCTATCATTTATCAAGTTCCTTTTCAAATCATTTATTATTTTGTAGAATTCTGCTGAGTCATACTCGTAGCCCACATACCAATTATACGTCGACTTATGTGTACCGAGTGCTGAGTTCAACTAGATTCATAATGTAAATATATATTTTTTAAATACGTTAAAAAGGCACCCAGCTATCGTTGTTATACTTCTACATTCATATAATTGGTTGTCATTCATGATCACGTACCCATATTATTAACACACATACCCCAAAAAAAGTTGTAGAGAAAAATATATCTGTTATCCTAAAAAGAAATCAACCTAAAAAAATAATTATTTTCTTTAGAGTTAACAGATAAGTGGGCAAAACCACTTACTTTGTAGGGATTTATGTCATGACCTTAATTTATGTATTACTTATTATCTTTATCATCTTTCTTAGTAAGAATATGTTGATGCATTTTCTATCCGGTGAATATATTGCATTTTACAACTGCCGTAATAATAACGTAGTTTTAAATATCTTTTCTTTTATTTCATTATGTTATTTTTACAGATTTTAAGAACGTCTGAAAACCCTCAGATGATGTCCAGTGAAGAAGATGAGGAAAAATACTACTGATGTAAGTATAGTTAAGAGCAAGAATCCGCTCTGGCATTTTTTTAAATTATCAATTAGATTAAATCAATTACATATTCATCAGTCAGAAGAATATTAGTGTCATATTCAAAATAATTCATATTGCTTATTTTGTTCTGTTAGGTTACCACAAATTTATATCTAAATGATGCCAATCAGTAAAGCAATAAATTGCAATGTTGTATTATTCACAATACCATTTTTGTTTAATTTACCTATATTTTGCTAATATAATGATAGTATCGTTTCATATTAAGAATAATTCATATTGATTATTTCGTTCTTTTAGGTTACCACAAATATATATCTAAATGATGCCAATCAGTAAAGCAATAAATTGCAATGTTTCATGTACCTTGTGCGGTTTTAAAAATCTTGTATTATTCACAATCCCATTTTTTTTTAATTCAACTTTATTTTGCTAATAGTTTCTTTTAATAACCTTGTTATTTCAAGAAAACTAATATTAATTTCCGGATCTATACGTTAATCTATTTTAATAAAAACAGTCATAAAAAAAGTCGTGTAATTATATAAAGCTATACGTCCTGGTTATAGATTGTTGTACTCTTAATCACATCGTACCTTCTTTTTTTTCCAGATAAAAGTTGCTTTACCTTTTTGTGATAATTTCAAATGTAGTTTGATTATGTTTTCTTTACTATCCATGGCTTCTTAACGGTTTGTACTTGCAGTTTATGAAATTTTGATTTCGTTCTTTTTGTATTTGTGTTCGTTATTACGGTGTGCAGTGTAATACAAAGTTTATGTTATGTTTCTTGCTTGGCTTTTCTGTTCATTCTATGCACATTTCCATCGCATATTGGTTGTCAGTTAAAAAAGTGTGCTTGATTTACACCATGTTTACTTTAAGTTTGTTGAAAAGTAATTACATTTTGTTGTGTTTTATGCTTTGCTTTGCTGTTCATTCTATGCGCATTTCCATCATACTGTTGTCAGTTAAGAAAGTGTTCTTGATTTACTCCATGTTTACTTTAAATATGTGAAACAGTAATTATATCATGACATCACCTTTACAAATCCACATTGCTGCTCACGTTTATCAAATATTAATTAGTGACAGTGAAAAATCAAAACCTCTCGTTGAACTTTTATGATTTTAACGACAATTCATTTTTTGTTTAATGTACCTTGTGCAGTTTTAAAAAGAATATTAATTTCGTTGTCTCTGATTTCAGGGATATATTCATCATCATTTGCTTTTCTTTTCGCTGGTAAATATTTCACTCAAGAACACTGTCTTTCATATCTTATATCTTTATTATTTTTTTCTTTTTAAAGGCATTTCTCATGGATACTCGCAATTTAGCATAATAAACTTTGATATTATCAAGCTACCTTATAGGGCGCATTCGACTAAGACATTTCGACGAGCATCATCAACTTCTTTAAATTTTATTTTCTGAAGCTGACGATTACCAAAAATAAATTTACCATAAAAAACTAACAAAATTAACGTTTATCAAATCCTGAATCGTTTATTAACCGGTGCGTGCTCAGATGTCAGTCGGAAATGCCCATTGCTAATAGTAATACTAATATTTCCAACAACCAGCATAATGCACTGTATTTGATATAATTTTTGAAATATAATATCGGAGAATTGTTTGATATGAATATCCTTGAAAATCTCCAGCTACCAGCAGAATGTGTATAACTGTATATGCCTTCTCAGTCGCTAAATATAACACCATTTTTGAGAAATTTTAAAAGGTTTCTTGAGAAAAAATATTAAAATGGAAATAAAGTACGATATAATAGATAATAATCTCTGTTGAGAAATAGGCATAACTGTGATCTAGATAGTGTAGTGTGTATACCATTTCACATCATGCAACGCGTCCATGATGGTTTTTCTTTCCAATCTTCGTTCACCTGTGCTTGACTTCATTTATCTCTGCTCCTCGTCTATGGCACTATAGAATTCACTGTGTGTTGTGTTGCCATGGTAACAGCTGGTTCTACAGTGCCATTGCATGATGGGTAGAAACATTCATGTTTGTCATTTTTGCGTGTGAAGTGCTGCATTCACCATCAACATCTTCATCAAATTTCTCCGTTTTCACCACGCACCATGCATCTTGCTTCGCCTTTATATTTTTGTTCAGTTTTCCTCTATTTTGCATTAAACCAAGTGGACATTGAGTTAACACAGCTTATGATTATGGGTTATACTTTTTGCAATGATTGGTTGCTTGGTTTCATTGGTGTTTGCTGTGGTTTTTGAAATAATGATTACATATATTTTTTTCATTTTTTATTCGTACACTGTCTTTTGTATAATCTGTCTTAAGGGACAACACATTGTGATAGTGTATGTTGATTTATGTTTGGATATTATAGCTATAGTACATTGTGTTTGCTAAATGTGAATTTCATAGATAGACAGATGAAGACGGATGCAAAGTTTAGAATCTTTTAGCGCCATTCCTAGGATTGAAGAATGGGGGCGGGGCGGGGGTGTATCCCCGTTTTCTTTTAAAGGCACTAAAGGCATCATTTTTTAATATACCTTTAACTTGTATTTTGTAGTTTAAACATAAATAGATATTCGTATTTTCATTTGCTCGTTAAGTTTTAATTGACTGGTTTACTAACATATTCAAATTTATGGATGTTTCTTTCCTGGGAACCTATAGTCTGCATATATTATTTGTTGCTATGTCGAACGAGCCTCAAGCATTCCTTTGCATTCAGGTTGTCAAAAAACAACCTTTTTTTTAAAGTATGCATGCAATGTGATTATGTTAGTAAAACGGCCTATAACTTAAAATGGTTATAACAGTGCAAATAAAGCTGTTTGGAAATAAGCTTAGATTGATTCGCACATTTACATTGTAGCATGGGAGATGGGTCAAATGTATTTTTATCACGAAATTGTAAAGAACGTACAAGTGCCTTAATCTTTTACAACATGTCTGAAACGGGTTAGATAATGTATTTGTTAGCTGTTAGAAATGTGTTCTTACTCTTGTGCGAAAGGGAGAGATCAGAGAATGTCCTCATCAGTCCAAGTGACTTAATTCCTTTGAAAATAAGGAATATGCAGCGGAGTTATGTGACCTTTTACTATTTATCGGATTATTTTTCTTTTGAATTGATTCATCATGTTAATGAAGGCTAACTGTATGTTTAGCTCATCATTTGGGCTATACACAAGAAGAAAGTAGCAAGAAATACTTTAGATAACATTTAAATTAGCCTAGGCTATGCCATTTTTTCGAAGTAAACAAGGTCAAATCGATTTTCGAACTGACAAGAAAACAAGATCTACCCATTTTTACAAAATGCTGAAAAGCCTCATGTAACATCCGAATTTAGTCTAGGAGTTAAGAGTCATGTTAACTTGATGCCGTTTGCAATGTGTCTCGTCGCCAGAGCTCCAGCGACAGGAATGAATGAGACACCGCTCCTCTTCTCTACCCTATACTAGTCTGTTTGGCACTAGCACATTTTGCTGTACCTCGAAAGAGGCTCATTGTCGTGTGCAAGATATGTTTGTGCCAAGCCAGATTGGAGGGTGCAGCCATCGAATAATACCGAGCGATCATCAGCCAAGTTGAACGTGGATGTGTGTTGAGCAGCGCTACCGACATAAGATTTTTTACATGGGACTTAGTCGATATCTTATGAAGATGAGTCCTACTGTAAGTTTATATTGAATCATTAAATAAAACAATATTATTTATTAATCATCTGTAGGTCTATACCTGTAAATTTCATTTTCATCAACTACACATTATTTTATCAGCAAGTTGAACATTTTGAAATGAATGATTGAAGAAACTAATATTTAGTTTTTTACTCTGCAAGTTCGCTAACATAATGTAAAAATATTCAGTCACGGCAGTGCATTGCCAAGTAAAGCATTGTAATAACGATTCATGTCTCATAACTTTTTCAATAATTCGAATACTGCTGTAATCAATTTTTCCCACGTATTCAAGTCATCATCGTGATGATGATATTGGTGGGAATATGACAAAAACGTTGAATCCATTAAGCTGGGATAAAAAAAAGAGGATTGCATTTTGCCCAATAATATTTAGGTTTCCGCTTTTGTTTATGAACCAGAATGAATATTATGATCTTTAAACTTAAAAGACAAAGACTAGTTAGTATTCGGAATATGAACGCTTTAAAATATTATGTCCATGCATTGGAAAGGTCTTCTAAGGTTTCCACTCTAAATACGTTTTTCTTCTTCAATTTTGATATGCGTTATAATGGCGAGGTCATGTATACTGTTATATGACTTGACCAGCCATGCTTACCTAATATCGTGCTGGTACGTAGATATAGACATGTTGACCTCTAATGTCTCAAGATAGTAATGTATGGGTATACGCTTCTTATTCTTACAAGACAGCTGTGACCTGCGAGGGAGCGCGTCGACCAAAGTGTTAAGAGCCGCCTTTTCAATCGGATGCGCACCAAAAACCCAAATCAGTATCTAATAATACCTTTTTTTTCTTCAAGTTTCAAAGCTCTCGATAATTCTAGTAGAATTACAATACTATATTATAAAAGACAATCATGTTACCATTTGATTATAGATAATGTTCATATTATATACAAATGGCGTACCATAATTGAGCAATTTTCAAAGTTCCTTTCAGCTTGCAATAATGAATCAATTTTTTCATCAAGAACGAAGAAGCCATATATTTCATATATTTCATATATACTTCAGACTGGTCATTAAATAGTTGGCCATTATTTTTGAGACAGGGACATCACGCTTTGATTCCCTTTGAATAAATAGGCTCTTTTTTGGACATGCCAGCAAGAGACATGGATGCGTGAGGTATGAAAAAATGACAGCGAAGAGACCAGCTTGCACGAAATGTGAAGCCATTCTCATCATGTCTGGTCCTTCTGATTACATGGCATGAAAACGACGCTATTAATTAGGATATTACGTAATCAGAGTACATCTCATATGAATTGGTCTGTCAGGCTGGCTCCGTGCATGATCTCAGTACAATAAGCCCTGTAAACCACAATGCAATGTTGCCGGTGTTGTAGCTCTATACATTGTCCTAAAGATTATAATTTGAAAGATATTGTTTGCCTCCTCCTCAGGAATTATTTATCAAACGGAGGCTTTTGCAATGCCCTTGTATAAAATGAAACATTAATGAATTATGTTGGAGACTGAATGGTAAATAAAGAACGTATTTTATAGGAAGGTAATGACATATAAATTATGGCTTCCTCGATTCTTGATGCAAAAAAAATCAAGACATGTCTATTTACAGCTGACATGAAAAATTGAGACACTAAAAGAAAAAAAAAACAATGTCATGAATATCATAGTTTAATTTATAGTACCCGGAATGAGAGGATCTATAGAAAATAAAATGGAAAGCACACTATGTTATGGAACGTTTATACCAAGATATTATTTATTTCCTCAACATTCACCCGCTGAAATCAAGTATGACAACATAATTAGAATGAGTGCCCCTCATTATGTAATCAGTCACGTGTCTCTCGTTAACGTGATGATCGTGGTTTGCTGAAATCTAATAATAGTATAGTCTGCTAATTGATTAAGCCCTTGCTTTGACCGTGGTACATCATTGTATTGAAATATCTGGTGTAGGATTTTTTGGTAAGCATTAGTAGCTGGAGGTATAGTATACTCACAATCCAATCCATTGTGAAGGAATTGAGAAAGATGGCCTCTGCCAAACAAAACTGTGACAGAATGCATAGGAGTGGAAATCCAGTCATGGCGAGTCTCATTCAGGAATCTCTTCGATTTGGAGTTGAATCTGCTCCAAATATGTGGTTTAAATTACTCTTATGAGAGTGGATTCCACTAGTTTAAACGTGAATTTCCACTCCAAAACGAAGTGATTTCTAGTATGACTCTAAAAATGTGGATTGCTATGCCTGTACATTTAGAAAGCGGAGGGGTACGAGGGGGAGGTGGTGAAAAGATGAAGGATAATATATGGGTATATTGAGTGCGGTTTTATTTTCAAATCTATAACTCTATATATAGACTCTATACAAAACCAACTGATATTCTTTTTGAAAATACATGATGAGGAGGACAAAATCTACATGATTAGTCGGGAAAGGAGGGAAGACATTGGTTTATAAAAAGTGAAAAGAGACATGAATAATAATTGTATTACATAAATGATCGGAAAGAAAAGAAAACCCCATAACGATCAATATAATCCTGATTTAGCCTGAAATCGATAGAAGATAGTGTGAGCCACAGCACGTAGAGAAACGGAACTGAAAATACGTGAATGTGGGCGAATTAGTAAAAAGAAGCATAGAAGAAGAAAAAATATTATTTTCAAGTAAGGGACAAAAATATGTTAATATTACTCAAATTAGATTCATTCTTGGTTTACCAATATGATGTGCTTTCAATACTTTGATTCCTGCATGATACGAGGAGTTCAAACTCGTTTCGGTATGACACAACTATAATTATAAACTTTCGTGTCCTTTCTGTTTCTTAACAGCAGTATATTTAATGTGAAAGTTTTCCTATACTCCCAACAAAGGAACACAATAAGAAATGAATAAACATTATTACTGTGACTACTTGGAACTCAATGTGGTTTCTCAAAAATATAGAAATTGAAAGTATAACAAATGTAAGTTATACTTTTATCATTACGACATCGAGATATCCTTGCTTAAAACTTCAATCATTATTATGTGTATAACCTATGATGATAAAGGAATGTAGCCACAGACGACGCATTTGACATGACAACATCCAGGAGACAGAACTGAAATCGAATTGAGACCAAGACGCAAACTACCAATGCCAGAGCTGAGCCATTCGACTGAGAGACCACCTCTATCCAACTCCTTCTCTTCAATCCTTCCCCCACAGTCATCCGCCTCTATTTTTGGCAATTGATAGAATTCACACTGTAACCTCATTATGTAATCAGTGGTTCTCTCATTGCCAAGCCTGGTGGCGTGATTTGATTACATCTCATAATGTGCACCATCTCCATCTTTAAAGCTACTTCATGGTCGAGTTGAGACGGAGGGAAGTATATTAAAGCGGTGGTAAGAAAGGTGAGTTAAGGGTATTTTTTCTTCTAAATTTAATACAAGAGAAAGTGGAAGAGAGTTGACGGAGGTTCCCTGTCTGCCACGCATCGATGGTCAAGGCTTTCCATTTTTACTTTAATGTTATGGGAAGTAGTGTATATGGTGGTACTAAGTGTTACCAGTCAGCTCGTTGAATCACTCCATTTGAGACGCTATCGCCTCCATTAAAAAAAAAAACCCACCTCTCTCACAATATTCAATATTCCAGTTAATATATCATTACCTTCTGTGCCTTTTTTATCCATTCCCTCCCCCATTCCTGACATATAATCTGGAATTATCTTCTCCTAATGATGTCTAGAATTGATCTTTCAATCTTTCAGGTCTTAAAATTATTTTAAAATGCCATCAGGCCATGATTTGAGACGGAGTTTGGACTAGGACAGCTGGAGACAGAAGAGAATGGAAATGTTATGAGGAGGGCTTTGTCCAACGTCTGGATGAACTATAGCCTGATAGATAAATAGATAGATAGGCCATGATTTATTTTTTACAAAAATCCTAAGATGAAGCTTTATTTAAGCTACCCTTGGACTTCTTGGCACATATTATATACGAAAGCGAAAAACAGAAAAGAAGTTCATACTTCATTTGGAGATGCACTTTTAATAGGTATGTTAAGGAGATAATAGTTGCTCTGTATGAAAATTGAGGTAAAAGGGTATAATTATGATGTATATCAAAAGATTAACTAAAAAAAAGATGTTCATGGAGGTTATAGTGAAAGTAAAATAAACTGAATAGAAAATTGATGACGCAAGATTTTGGTATTTATTTATTTTTGTACAGGCAAAAGTCCAATTTACTTAAATTTCTGACAATAAATGACGTAAGTGAACAACTTGAAATGTGTACTCCTTAAGCTATTGATGAGTTATGACTAAAAACTAAATGGGTTTAATTCCATTTTCGTTTTCGACGAAAAAGTAATTGGTATTCCTTCATTTCATTGTTCACATATAAAGTCAATGTTATGCATTAAATATGTTATAACAAGAAAGTATATATCCTTGGCTTATTTCTTTTTCTATTGGTTTGTTTGTCTTTCCCTATTAATCATTCCTGTGAACAGAGGCATTTTCATGTACTTATGGATATTGGTTTATTGAAAGTAAATAACAGATAAGATGTTGCATCAATCAACGATGACAAGTATCAACATCATTAGGAATTTGTGGTCATACAATGGCAAGGCGATGTTCTCCAGCGATGAATTCGGGTCAGACCTTTGCCTTTGCGTACCCCAGAAAGGATGGGTTTTGCTTGGATCCTGCTGGCAAGTGCGGCGGCACCCCCCCCCCCCCCCCCCACGCCCCCGATTTTTCAAGTACCGCTAAATTGCCCCTTTTCACATAAGAAAAGTGCCCCTTTTAATCTCTGATAATTGCCCATATTATTTTGACTTGTGCCCCTTCTTCTTTCTAATGAGTGCCATTTTCCGTCTGATAATTGCCCTTTTCCTTTGAAATAAGTGCCGTAGGCACCGCGTACCTATGGCGTATGCGATTGGCGTACCTATGCGTACGATTGCGTATAACAAGCGTAGGGTTCAGGCGTACGTTTACGTAGGCCTGGCGTATAGGTTTGCTTACGGTTGCGTACGGTTGCTTACTATGTGCGCAAGCATTTACTGCTTCGTAGGACTGGCGAAGGGAAGCGTTCAATTGCGTAGGCTTGGCGTAGTGTAGCGTAGTGTTGCGTAGACTTGCGTACAAAATGCGTACTTTCAGCTTCTAGTGTCTACGCCGAAGTATGCCAAGCGTCCATCTCGCGTACCCCTTTGCGACCCTCCGCTTATTTTTACGTACGCCAGCGTAGGGCAGCGTAAGCTCGGCGAAGTCGGTACGCAACACTACGCAACTCTACGCATGGCCCGGTGTGACACGATTTAAATGAATATTCAGACCATCAAACCTAACCCCAAAGTATGTTGCTGAAATAGTATCTTGCATCATGTAAATAGGAAGAAAAAAAAATCAAATCTTACCTCATAACGTAATATGCCAACGGCTAAAATTGTACAGCTTCGTTGACGAAGCTGTTCATGATGACCATGGCCCGACTGGGCCATTCGCTTTGAGATTTCCCTTTGCTGGTGCCCCTTTTCCAGAAAGTGCCCCTTTTTGTTGGTGCCCCACTTTAAAATAATTACGCCCGGCGCCCCTGACTGCTGGGAATTCTGCAGGGGATGTCAGCGCACGTTTTCTTGTCAGAAAAGTTTCGGGATTGAGCATTCTCCACCTTCAACATCCCCAGCAAAACAACATCAACAAAATCCCATGTTCTTTCATTCTACAGATTAATTTAAAAAAAAGATTTTCAGTACATTATTCAAATTCGATCGAAACAACATTTCTAATTTCAAAATGACTCTCGATAGTGTTAATGGAAGTGTTAGTTTACAGAGAGGAGTGACGAAAAAAATAGCAGGGGTAATATTTTAATTTTCTGCCCAAATGGAATTGATGTCATTTATCATGACTGGATGGCGCAATTGCTCCTTGAAAACCAATAATGTTGAGTCATATCACGGCAGAGATTAAATTTTCCGAGCCGATAATAGTTCTTTCAATCATAGCACGTTTAAGAGAGTGTATAAATTGTGAGGAGAGAGAGAAAGGGAGAGAGAGAGAGAGAGGGGGGGGGGGAGTGGGAGGGGAGAGGGAGGGGGAGGGAGGGAGGGAGGGGGAAGAAGGGGAAGAGAGATATAGAAAGAAAGAGGGAGCGAAGGAGAGAGAGAGAGAGAGATAGATATATATTATAAAGAATAAAAGAGACAGAGCAGAAAGAGAGACAGAGCACAGAGAGAGAAAGGTAGAGAGAAAGCAGAGAGATCAGAGAGGGAGACGGAGAGAGAGAGAGAGAGAGAGAGAGAGGGGGGGGGGAGAAAGAGAGAGAGAGAGAAAGAGAGGGAGAAAAAAAGGGGGGGGGGGGTGTATAGCCTTTACTTATTATATTTCTCGACAGTTTAGTTAACATTCACCTGAAACCATTTCTCCTCTCACTCATCCCCTCTATCTCTCTCTCTCTCTCTCTCCCTCTCTGTCCACACTTCCTCTTTCTTTTCCTCATTATCATCAATAGTTACATTATCAACAAAATCTTATATTGTATAAAATATGTGTCTCATGGAAGGCTGTTTTGTGAAAACAATATTCTGCGCAACTGACATTGAAAAGTTACAAGTATTTAGGATTAGGACTATGAACACTGTATAATTTTGTTATTTTCTCATCTGCGTTCCCAATTCTAAATTGATCTGAATGATTATATTCGCATCGACAATTATTGGTAAAGGAGGTAACGATTAGGAAAATATCGTTTAAGCAAGACATAATTAATTTCGGATATGTTTTCTCCAGAAATTCCAGAAACATTAAATTGGAAATGTCAATGCCCCGATAAATTCACCGAAGAGATAACCCAAACTTAGGCAACATGATCTAAAGATGGCGCTAAAACTCTTCTGTACCAATCGCAACATAGAGTGCCCATAACAGATTTTTGCCATCATCACAGTCCATTTACCATCGTCTCAATTTGTTTACCATCATCACAACCATTTTACACTGAAGTTTTTGCCATCTCCGCAACCTCCGCAATTCATGTTTCTATCATTTTACTATCATCACAATGTCATGTTACCATCATTTTATCATCCTCACAACCCTTTTACATTGAAGTCTTTGCCATCACCAAAACGCATGTTTCTATAATTTTACTATCATCACAATGTCATGTTACCATCATTTTACCATCATCACAACCCTTTTACATTGAAGTCTTTGCCATCACCAAAACGCATGTTTCTATAATTTTACTATCATCACAATGTCATGTTACCATCATTTTACCATCATCACAACCCTTTTACATTGAAGTCTTTGCCATCACGAAAACTCATGTTTCTATCATTTTACCATCATCACAATCTCATGTTACCATCATTTTACCATCATCACAACCCTTTTACATTGAAGTCTTTGCCATCACCAAAACTCATGTTTCTATCATTTTACTATCATCACAATCTCATGTTACCATCATTTTACCATCATCACAACCCTTTTACATTGAAGTCTTTGCCATCACCAAAACTCATGTTTCTATCATTTTACCATCATCACAATCTCATGTTACCATCATTTTACCATTATCAGTTTTATCACAGCCCTAAACATGGACATTTACTTTACCATCATCACAATATATATCACCACCATTACACTCTTCTCTACTACATTGTAATATTTTTGTTACCACCATCAGCACCTCATTATCTCACCTTATTACCATCACCAAAATCTCCTTTATTCATTCAGTCAGTCAGTCATTGATATCAAGTTTATGACTAATATTAACCCATATTGAGCGGCATAGCTATAGGGGCGTTGCGGAGATAGAAGGCAATAGAAATAGAAGGCAATCACCGGATTGTGTCCGTCTCGCCCACCTGTGACCACATTATACGAATGTTCCCAAAGAGCATCCCTGACTCAAGTTTGGTTGAACAATGAACAATATGGTATACAAACTTACCTTTTTCTGACAGTTGCTATGATTGTGTTGGGAAATAAGTCTTTATTGGTTGAAAACTAATTTGGTCACAATGGGATCCCGGAATGGGATTAACAGGTACAAAGTTATTTTCACAAGAGAATCTTCAAATGAATTTTACATAAGCATGTGACACTTGACAGCATCAAACTGTGGAGGTCCAGCAAATGGGTCTGGTACCCAAGTTTAGTCACAATAGGATAGAGGGTTGCAAAGGTAATTTAAACTTTAAGATTTGTGACGGACGCCAAATGACGATGGATCCCATAGTCATATACCACCTTATGGAGATATGGGTGTGTGAGGTAATGTGAATGGAAATTGTAAAGGCGTGTTCATTGATCACACAACATAACTCTCTTTATGATTTGACTACGAGGAAACAAGGTTGCACTGGCAATAAAATACATGATAAAAAGTATTCCCTTTTCGTTATTTTATTGGGTACTGATTTGCAGACACAACTCTTGCAAAGTGTAGTCATGCAAGCAAATAAATGATTCAGAATGAGAATCACAAAAATGAGGATCGTGGATAGCATTTATTCAGGTTCGTTCTTACTCATTACATGACCATTTAAACTAATTGCACGGAGTTTAAATGGTCATGTAATGAGTAAGAACGAACCTGAATAAATGCAATGAATAGAGTTTACGACAATGGTAGAAATGACGTCGAAAGTCCATGAAGATGATGACGGATGAAACGAAGAAAGGGGCTCACGCGATGATTGTGCGGAGGCTTGATGATGGAAACGCGACTTCATTGACGTGGCTGAAGAGCCGTGAAGAATGCGATGTCGATGCCGACGCTCGTGATGATGATGAATGTAGCGCTCGGGCGAGAAGAGAAGAGAAGAAATGTGGCACTCGACGACGAGGCAGTGAGTCGCTCGATGTCGGAGTCCCAGGTTGAAATGTAGACATCAAAGCCGGTAATTGTGGTGATCGTGAAGAGCGATGCTGGATCGATGAGCCGGACTTTGCAGTGAAATCATCAGAGTTGCAGTGAGTTGGACTCGTTGATGAAAGTTCAGACGAGCTACAGTGATTCGAGCTCGTGTGTGAAAAGAGCTAACGGAACTAAGAAAATGGCAGCTCCCAGCGGAGAATCAAGAATCATGTCGGGTCGTGATTTAAACGTTCCACTGCACTGCAAGACTGCCCGTCCTTTGAAGACGGCAGAGAAAGAGTTGATGTGCCATAAAAGAGGTGATAGGCACGGAAGAGAATTCTCCAAATGATATGAAGGAGGTTAGAATTGAAGATGGATTTGCTCCTGGTGTGCATGAAGCAAATTGTGGTGGTAGAGGTGACATTCTCAACTTGACGTGTTGCTTCGATGAAGAACTTTGAGAAGTGTGAGTTAGAGAGAGAAGATGTTGTTTTCATCCTTCTTGGGAGGCAGGATAAAACAAAGAGAGTTCTATACCAAATTCTGGGAAGTTAGGGCGAGTCACCGGTGATAACTGCAGTGTCCAGTGCCAATACGCTGGCACATATATAGGGATGGCAGTGCCTGGCATAAGTCAGAGGGCAATGTCCTCCCAAATTGGGTTTGCAAAGTAACAAATGAAATTGGGAAATAAAGAAAGATGAAATGAGGAAAATACTACAACCTCATCCTTCGATGGGCGAGACAACAAAAAGAGAAAAAGAGAGAAGAAATAAGGAGGGAGAAAGGAATATGAAAAATACTATGATCCCCTTCAACACCCCCTTAATTGATGGCCTTGTTAATTTGCCTTTCATCCACTCAGAAGATCGTCATTGTCAATGCCCCTCCCCCCCCCCCCCCTCAAAGGAGGAACCTAGGTTATTGCCACAGCATCACCACAATTCATAACATCACCATCCATATGATCCCCTTCAACACCCCCTTAATTGATGGCCTTGTTAATTTGCCTTTCATCCACTCAGAAGATCGTCATTGTCAATGCCCCTTCCCCCCCCCCCCCCCCCCCCCCTCAAAGGAGGAACCTAGGTTATTGCCACAGCATCACCACAATTCATAACATCACCATCCATATCCTTACAATATTCTTTACCATCATCACAGTATTCTTGATCAATCCTGTGTTTTAAATCATCACAAGCCTCTCTCTCTCTCTCTCTCCATCCCCCCCTCTCTCTCTCTCTCTCTCTCTCCCCATCCCTCCGTCTCTCTCTTTCTCCACCCCCTTCTCTCTCTCCCTTTCTCTTTATCATCATCACAATCTTTAATATCATATAAACCTTTAATGTCTTACAATCACATCCATCCATCAAACGTGTAAACTTTTCATCTCTGTGTATGTTTGTATGTGGTGAGTTTTTGACATGAAATAGAGCATATACACAAAATAAACACAACATTGACACCAGAATTGCTTTTAAAATATGAAAGATTGACATTCACAGGTTCTCTTTTTCTACCTTTCTTCATATAACCTCAAAGGGTTCCATGCAGAGCCTTTTTCGACATTGACAGTGCTTCATTCTATACCCATTCTATCTAATGTACAAATTGATATGTACAGCCAGTTCTAACATTTCCATTCACAATATACATTGTACATGTATCATAATACATAGGGATGTTATTACCAGTTCAAATGACAAATAAATGGAATCTAAGTGGATAAACAATACTGGTCAGGTAATGTTTAACAAGATACAACAGCACATGGGATTGAGGCTTTTCAAAATTTTATACTACATGTGGCATGATGCTATCTGTAAACAGACAAATTAAAAGAAGCACTACAACAGATTAAGAATCCATGTAAATTAGGCCACATAGACAATATTCAATAAAGAAATTGGAGAATTTAGCCATCAGTATATCACAGGACTTCAGAAAAAAAGAGAATTACATATAAAACTTTCAATGCTGATTTCTTAGCTTTTAAGCCAATGAATGTATGTGTCTCGGTTAAAGCCTCAATAATACACCATTTTGGTTTCGGCCACAGGACCTCTTTCTAACAAGACCACTGCTCTACCATCGAATCTTCCAGCTTCTTGGGGTAGGATTATTATTCAATTGAAAATTAAAAAATAAAAAAAATATACTGAGATTAAAGTGATTAGTAATACATGTACTTCTACTACTTGTTACATGCTGAAGTCACAGATAGACAAATGGAAATAAATAAATAACTTATTAAAAATCCTAAAGCACACAGTTCAATTTGATGGATAGCATTCTATATTCAAACATGTACACCCCCTAGGTACGATCCTTACTGCTTAATACCAAGGCAATAAATATCACCCTTGATCATTACACAGGGTACAAGCAGTTAAAAGATTGATATCGGAACATGTAAAATTGGGTTAGAGCTTTTATCTCTATGTTATTAAAAACTCAGGTTCTTTGAAAATGCTTCTCTTTTAAAAATGATTTTTTTAAAATGCTACTAAAATTATAAAAACAAAACAGACATCTGGGTGACATCTCTACCGAGATTGAGATAAGATTTATCCAAGAACGTTGCAAAGTATTAGGCAATATTAGGAAACACGGGGTGCAGGATTTTGCTGAACCAGCATCTATTCACCACATTTAATGAAACCTCACAAAAAACTGACCAAACAACCCATAAATGTGCATCAGACAATCCTCTCCATTGCCTACATAAAAAATACAGACAATTCTACATAAATGCCATTATGCGTATTGAACGAATCAATCATTCCTCCCACACAATACACAATACAGATGGTAATAAGAATACAATATATATATACTTGTCATTTAAAAACTGGCATGTTCCACAGTCCATCAATCACCCACCTACCTACCTGCCTCCTCCTACGAAATACATCTCAATATCTAATCTACATGCACACTCTAACTACGGTAATTAAATAGTTCTAGCAAAAATCTTCTCTTCGTATGTTTGTTTAAATATAATATGCATGTACAGAGGTAAACATATACAAATAGAGATAATGGACATAGATGAGATAGAAAAAAAGGAGAATATGGATTAGGATACGGGGATGGGGGAGATTACATATAGGTTGTGCCATGGGGGGAACAGGTTATACAATACAAATGTTTGTTTTCTTTCCATGATCTTTCTCATGAATCTCACTCGGAGTCGCTCTTCTGTCTTTCTATATTTTCATTTTCAGTCAAGCTAAGAATGCAACAAATCTCAACCTTCAAAATGGAATAACAGATATTTCATGAAATGATTTAGCAAGAAAAAAAATTTAGTTTTGGGGTGATGGTTATAATCCCACCCACAGAAAATTTTGAGGACTTTTGATATCAATTTTTTTTTGAAGACCCTAACAACATTCTTTCTCTGAAATCTGCCATTCGTTAGTAATCCATATACTTTTGATATTTGGTTTTTTTCATAGGATTTACTCAGCTTTCAAATTAAAAACGCACATTCATGTGGTACTTTACGATGATGATTTGTGACTTTGTATGAAAATCACATACAAGACATATGTCAATGTCAAAATGTTTATGTAGACAGCATATAAAAAAGAAGATAAAAAGCAAAAGTCCTTGGATATGGGTAAAAAATCAGACTGGTTTCATGACAAGATGATTGTGTTGTCTTGAGAAGACAACTGCTAAAGAATTAATGCAATGGGTTTGATTTGGTAGTATGCTCAGTCATGTATTTCCAAACAAAAACAACTTTTGGTATTAAAAAATATTGCTATATTCATTCATTCAGGTGACTATTCTCCTGTATGTGTAAATCAATAATTTTACCTTTTAAAAAATAACCTGAATATTGACTTTCATTATGGAACCCTTTTTTACACTTATTTGTGTGAGCGAAAGTATTGACCATATACAATTATAACTAGCAAAACTTAGACTGTGTTATTGGTGCAATGTGCAAGTTGTGAATACATGCATACTAGCTGGACACATACATGTAGACTGAACGAAGACATTTAAACATTATGTATGACCTCACTGTAACAACTATTGCTCTATTTTGACATCAACTTGCATGGTAAACTCATTCCAAATACACAGCTGAGTTTGTTGAACTTTTCTCTATCAATAAACGTGACCATTTCATGGAAATGAAATAAAATTTGGTTTCATGTGCTGTTTTGCAAACTAAAAGCATGGTTGACTCATATATGTGTGACCCAGTTACCCCACTCATGCAATTGCACACAAAGTTGGGAAAAGTTGCACTGAACAGCATCAACTTTCTCTTTTGAGTGAAAATACATCTGAACATCAGCTCAAGTCTTTCTTGTTGTTGATGTTATTGTTCTTCTTCTTCTTGAGCCACGTAGATTAAACGAAACCATCAAATACATTGCTTTACCATTCCAACCGTCATGAATATAAAATCAACAAAATTTACACCGCAGCAGCAAAAAAAAAAACGAGAAAGGATGGTAACTGTACAATTTGGTTAGACCTGCAGCTTTTGAAACCAATAACAAGTTATTCTCTTGAAAAATAAGAAATATTAAGAACACTTCACAAGTGTACAAATCAAAATACATGTTTAAGAATAAAATAGAAGTGGATAACTTGTGTTCACCGCTTAGGATACTTTTTTTTCAATAACTCCCTTTCACACAAGCTCATGGTTGGGATAATATTGTTGAATGAAGGATATCAATTTACTTAATTTCTTACAGAAATGTCATACTTTACTGTTCCCATAGAAATACATTCCATACCTGTTACTAAGAATTGCTAAATAAGAGCTTCTTTTGTTCTTTGAAAGTTGAAGGCATTTTTGATAAAAACTAAATAGTTTCCGTATTCATAGTTTTGTAGTTTGTTGCTTCATTTCTAATTTATTTCCAAAATTTATTTGTATTGAAGGGTTTCAAATAATGATAAATAAACATCCATGATAAAATCAAATTTTTTCTTCATTTCACCTATTTTAGAAACCAGAAACTTTTGCAAATTGTTAACATGTTTTCATGACATAGTTTTAGTGAAAATAAACGAGGCAATTCAATTATTGCAGGGGAATGAAACTTTGCCCGGTCTGGAGCATTGGCAAAGTTAATGCAAGCGCAAGTTTTTGGATTGAAAGTATACCATCTTCATGATCACACATAAAAATAAAAAAAGATTGTTTCAATAAAATCTGCAATAAAAGCCTGAAATCACCCTGTGCAGCTAATGCATGGTAATCAAAGCATCCTCTTGTAAGTTGTAGAAAAATTAATCAAAAAAAGATTAGATTTTAAGATAAAAAGGATAAATATGTTGAATAGATTGAGTATAACTACACCTGACAAGATACATTCATGGCACAACACTTCAGACTTTTGTATAACATCTGCAGGAGACCAAAAAAAAAAAAAAAGAAGATATGTCACAAACTCCCATCCTGCTTCTTTCAAATAAATACTCTATTCATATCGATACATTTTAAAAATAGATCTTTAAAAAGATTTGACAGCAGAGAACTGGCACAGAGGGCGAGGAAGGTCAAACACTGACCATGTTTACATTGCCGGGAAATTTATGATTCATGTCAAAGATCAATAAACTCTTTGTCCTTTTTTTTTCTCTCTACATTTTCTTAAATGGAACCATGCAATAATTTCTTCATGAAGCCGTCTTTGTTGTAGTGGTATTGCATTCAAACCTGGACGTCGTAAAATTCTTGCACCTGGTTTGTTACATTGTTAACCAATCGTCTTGGTGCAAGCCACTTCAAGATGCTGCACTGGTTTTTCTTGTACAAGTGAACATGGAGATAGTCTTCAGAAGTTTAGTTATGTGAATAACTCCGAGAACGTGGTGCATCGAAGGTTGAGGTGCAGTGTTTCTGTATGTATACTGTAGATGATCATATGAAGTGAGATGCCCCTTTCACACTGCCAGGTACCCTATCCCCATCTTTCTTCACCAGACTTTGGACATCAAGGTTGTTTGAAGCAAAAGCTTATAGCTGTCTACCGATACCACGTCACAACGAAGAGCTTTAGCACCAAATCAGAAATGATCCTCGTACGACTTTCTCTCTTTCCTGAAAGCATGCTTGATAATGGCGCAGTTACACGATGCATCACTGGGCATAATGAATGCTACAGTCCAATAATAATCGTACGATTTGAAGCCTCTGGAGACCCACGACAATGAGTACTGCAACCATTTAAGAAGAACATTTTTTGTGCTAGATGTCAAACAAAGTCTTAGCAATGTAAACAAGGTCTGGAAACAGGAATAAAACCAACATTTCCATATTCCTTCTTTAAAAACATTTCAATTCTAAGGGATTACTGTACAAAATGGGGGCTAAGATTGCAAGAGACAAGGGGGGGGGGGGGGTAGGAATAAAAGGGAAGAGGGAGGGGGCTGGGGCTATAGCTCCATCCCTTCTGTTTCATCTTCTGAAAAATCACTCATGGAACTTTCACTCGATGATGAAGGGTTCTCCTGCTCTTCCAGTACTTCCTCTGTTGCATATTTTTGTATATATTCTGCACAGACAAGAAATGTAAAAAGAAGAGAGAAAAAAGAAGATTTAGTAAGATTCCCAACTTTTCACATTCCAATTTATCTGGCTCTCCCATGGATATTAATTAACTATCTTATCAGTTTTTAAATCAATTTGTTTTCAAGTGCATTTACTTGGTTGACACTTAATAATATTTAATAATAATATTTAGCTTTTATATAGCGCTTAATACAAATGTCTCTAAGCGCTTTACAAATATACTATTACCCTGGTCACTTCACTCTGTTCATCAAGAATGATTTCACCAATCACTTCAATCTCAAAAATGTCTGTAATTGCAATGATTAAATTTCTATAGCGTACTCTTTGGCATTTGCCCTAATACACTGTACTACTATGATCACTTTAGATCACAGTACATATTTAATTAGATTGGCCAACAAAATTTTACCTGAAGTAAATGTTAATAATTAACACAGAAAACAATGATACAAAATATCGCCTCTAATCATACAAGTTTACTTTATATCATATCGCGATTCCACCCGATAACCAATATAGATCAATAAAAAGTAGATTTCCGCTGCTTTTTAAGTCCATCACACCCCCATTCCTCACCAGCCTTTTAGGCGCGGGGGAGGTTTCTTGGACTTATGCTGTAACCACAATCTCTGTTAATCTAGACAGTCATCACAGTCCTGCGACGATCAAGGACAGAGTCACTCAAGTCAATTTACTGGAACAACGACTAGGTAAGATGCAAAATGGTCGAGGGGTAATTTTTTTAATCATATGGAATTTTAATAAATTATGCATAATCAAGCTATTATTTATAACCCTTCTTATTTCATGTCTAAATTATAACAGCCCGGCCTCTGGCTGGGTGATTTTTCTCACCGCTGGGCGGGTATACCGTATGGCATCCTGTGCGGTGTACCGCCACCAGTGCAGCCTATACGGCCACGTAAGGACCGAGGCTTACTAAATTGATCCCCCAAATATATAGATTTGATTTGATGTTTGGTTTGGTTTGATTCATCCTTTGTCAAGTAAGTGTCTATAGAATAGGTCCCAGCCAAAAACCCACTTGAGTCTAGATCTATGTTAGATCTAGACCTACTTTGGTGTCTTACTTGTTGATATTTGCCTTCCATTCCGAGATGCATGGCCCTACTTGTATTCAGTGTCTGTGATGTGGTGTAATATTGAAGCCCTAAAAAAAAATTGCGCTTCAAAATGATCATGAAGTGCCTCAAAAAAGTAAAAATCTTTGAGTGACCGGTTTTACCATACTCATTTCCCAAATAGACTGTCGTGTTATGAAAACCGTTAGGAAAAAGAATTTTTAGATTTTGATTTCCAATCATAAATATCTTTATAATTAAACAGTCAATCGGCTTGTAAAATTCATGTGGTCCCTGACTTGCCCAAAGGTTTATAATTATCATTGCAGCATGAGCTTAAAGATAAACTCCAGTTCTTGTAATGCGATTGCATTGTGAAAGAAAAGGTGTGAAATGGATCAGAAACAGTTGATCATGTAGCATGTAAGTATTGGTGTGCACTGCAAGGTTCTGGAGTCATCAAAATCATAATAAATTTGGCCGAGTCTTGGTAAAGTAACAAGCACTGTACACAGAAAGCTATATATGGGACGACACACATGGTGTCGGGGCTAGTACTACCTTTATGTCCTTGTCTTTCTATGCTCATTACTCAGCCAGTATACATTTTCTTCCAAAATTGTTTGGCACATGTCATTTATTTGTAATCTTGAACATTCAGTGTAAGTTTCATTTGATTCTGTGAGAATAAATTTTCTTTTTTTTACCAGAACTGGAGTTTATCTTTAATCCAGGATTTTGTTTATGTTTCAGAATCTCAGACAAACTTATCCAATCCCTTTAACTTTTAAGTTACTTCCAATAATTGTAGGCCTACCTACATTCACCTGCTGGTTTACTTACCCCTGATTTTCTTCTGGTAATCTTCTGGTTTGTGCAAGAATAGTGCTGCAGCATCTCCGTTGAGAGGGTCTATCGGGTTGGGATAGCTCAGAAGCTGTGGAAGGAACTGCTCAAAGATATTCGATAAATCTGAAAAGACAATGCAATGAGCATACATATAGGTTAGAATATATATTTGTTTGATGCATCTACTAATCATAGAAACCTCAATGATAGCAAAAGATCTTCCCCACATTTTTTCTACAATTTGCACATTTTACAAAAGTATGTACATATAGTAGAACTAGATGGAACTTCGACTGCGCGCATTCGAAATGATGCCTCCGTCATAGAGCAATTTACAAACCAAAACAGAAGAAATTTTTCAAATTCAAGTTCAATTGTAATCCATTAACAGGTTCTCAGAATATTGTGATTACAAGCAATTTCTCATATACATATATGACCCTTTGATCTTTGACCTCATGACCCTAACATCTACTCAGTTCATTGGCTCTGCAAGATGTCCCGAGTTAAATAGTAATCCATCTGTCAGTTCTAATGAGAATGTGTTCACAAGCTATTTTTGCATACATAATGAGCCCGTGACATTTTACCTTTGATCTCATGACCAAAGAATCTACTCAGTTCATTGGCTCTGCAAGATGCATACATGATCTAAGTTTGGCAGGAATCCATCAATCTGTTCTAATGATAATGCGATCACAAGCTATTTTTGCATACATAATGAGCCACATGACCTTTGACCTTGACCTCATGACCCCAAAATCTAATCAGTTCATCGGCTTCGCAAGTAACATACATGACCTAAGTTTGGCAGGAATCCTTCAATCGGTTCTTGAGATAACGCGATCACGAGCAGTTTTTGCATACATAATGAGCCCTGGGACCTTTGACCTTTGACCTCGTGACCCCAAAATCTATTCAGTTCATCAGCTCTGCAAGATACATAAATGACCAAAGTTTGGCAGGAATCCATCAATCGGTTCTTTGGATAACGCGATCACGAGCTGTTTTAGCATACATAATGAGCCCTGTGACCTTTGACCTTTGACCTCGTGACCCCAAAATCTAATCAGTTCATTCTTCTTCTTATCGAGTCACTACACAAGTCCCGTCCAGTGGTCCACACAGGCTTTGGCACGGAAATTAACGGCTTCCAGGTCATCTTGGGTGCATGGCTCTGGCAGGAGTGGGCAGACTAGCAGGTGTTCCATTGTCTGTTCCTGGCCGCATTCACATGCCGTTTGTTCGTCTCCTAGACCCCACCTCTGCATTAGGACTCTACATCGACCGTAGCCAGTTCTTAGGCGGTTGAGGCTAAGCCAGGTAGGCCAAGTCTCACTGGAGCCGGTTGCGAGGGATTCCTTCGGGCTGAGGGAGAGTTTATGTGGAGTTGTCTGAAGGTGGTTAGACCACAAAGTCATCCTTTGGTTGTGAGGGCTAGTATTAAGAGGCTCTACCGAGTGCAGAAAGCTGTGTCTGGATTTGAGCCGCTTGCCCACTGGCTGTTGTTCGAAGAGTGGGTGGAGTGGATTGTTTTCTTGTTTGTCCTTTTCTTTCTGGGACAAGACCAACCTTCTGACGTGTGGAGGGGCAATACCGCAGAGCAGGTAGATGTCTTCTACTTTAGTAGGCCTTAGGCATCCAGTGATCGCTCTGCAAGATGAATTTAGAGCTGGGTCAATCTTGGGTGCATGGGCCGACCTACTCCATACTGGTGATGCATACTCCGCAGCAGAGAAGCAAAGCGCGAGGGCTGTTGTCCGGATTGTTCTGGCATCAGTCCCCCAGTTGGTGTTGGCTAGCTTCTTGAGGATGCTGTTGCGGGCTCCAACTTTTGCCTTTGTGTTGGCGATGTGGTTCTTGTAGGTAAGGGAGCGATCGAGTGTGACGCCTAAGTAGACTGGGTTGGGAGTGTGCTTCAGCCTTTTCCCATACCAGCTGATCCTTAGTTGATGGTTGGCATCCCTGTTCTTGAGGTGGAATGCGCTTATCTGAGTTTTATCAGGGTTAGCTCTCAGGTGGTTGGTCGCATAGTATGGGATGAGACCAGCCAGGGCATCACTGAGGGACTCCTCCAACTTCACAAAAGACTGGTTCTGGTTGGCGATGCAGAGATCATCGGCGTAGAGGAAGCTCCTGGTGTTTGGGTGGATCGGTTGGTCATTCGTGTACACGTTAAAGAGTAACGGTGCGAGCACACTTCCTTGTGGTAGGCCATTTTTCTGTCTGCGCCATCTGCTGCGATTCCCATTGAGAACCACAAAATATCGCCGATTGGACAGCAACGTCTGGATGAGTCCAGTCAGTCTCACGTCCTTTGTCAGCTCAAAGATCTTCCTGGTAAGGATTCTGTGATTCACGGTGTCGTAGGCAGCAGAGAGATCAACGAAAGCAGCTCCGGTGATTAGCTTACTCTCATACCCGTCCTCAATGAACTGAGTGAGGTTTAGGAGTTGGCCAGTGCATGATTTTCCTGGCCTAAACCCTGCTTGTTCTGGAATGAGATGTTCATCCACGAATGGGGCGATGCGGTTGAGGATAAGCCGCTCGAACAGCTTATATGTATGGCACAGTAGGGAGATAGGCCTGTAGCTCTTTGGACTGGCTGCGTCTTTACCAGGCTTCAATAGGGCAATAACTTTGGATTTCCTCCAGAGCTTTGGGATGTTGTTGGTGCCCAAACATTCGTTGAACATTTTGAGAAGCCAGTTGAGGGCGCCTGGTCTAAGCTGTTTGATCTGCTCGCAGAGGATGTCATCAAGTCCAGCAGCTTTGTTGTTTTTCATTGCTTTGATGGCAGCAAGCAGGTCGTTCATGGTGAACGGTCTAGTGAAGCCTGGGTCATCTTGAGAGCTTAGAGCGTCTGGGACCTTAGGGAGTCTGGCCCTTCTGGGGTGATGGTCAGGGTTCCCCGACCATTCAATAGGAGTTGATGGGCAACTTGGTCAGCAGTGACTTCAGTTCATTGGCTCTGCAAGATACATACATGACCAAAGTTTGGCAGGAATCCATCAATCGGTTCTTTGGATAACGCGATCACGAGCTGTTTTTGCATACATAATGAGCCCTGTGACCTTTGACCTCGTGACCCCAAAATCTAATCAGTTCATCGGCTCTGCAAGATACATACATGACCAAAGTTTGGCAGGAATCCATCAATCGGTTCTTCAGATAACGCGATCACGAGAACGGGACGTACGGACGGACGTACGGACGGACGGACGGACAACCAGAAAACATAATGCCTCCGGCTACTTCGTAACGGAGGCATAAAAATAGATCTAATATTAAAGTTAGCGTGTGTGTGCCAATCATATCCATCTCTAACCTGTAAGAATAGCTACAAACAATAGAGGGCAAGGCAAGGAATTTGGTCATTGCTCCATACATTACCTATAATAATCAACAAATTAAACCCTACATTCAGACTACCTGAATTCATTGTATAGCTACACAATAACTAGTTACATTTTTCCTAGTCTAAACGTTCAACTTTGTAGAAATGTCAAGGTAAACGTTGTACAGTGAAATGCACGTTTGAGCATAGTTTTGAACAAAACTCAATAAAGAATCAACGACCTTGGAAGTGTTTCACAAAGACTAAGATCGACTTTAAGTTGGACTTAAATATGGCAGGCTGTTCATGCCACTGTTTGCTTTCAACATTATGATTTTTGGATATTTTTTTCCTTCAATAATGAATTATCAAAATATATCACTTCTGTAGATTTGTGATCAACATTTTTACGTCCCTTGAGAGTCAAATGCAAGGAAATGCCAGTAAATGGTGAGATATCAAACAGTGGCATCAACGGCTCTTGAATAAGAGTTTTGCATAAAAAACAGCTAAATACACCATCTCCTTCATTTATTATTATTTCTAGAAATTGAAAAGAAATAATTTTCAATGATCGCTTATCATTAATTTAGATTTACCATACAACGGTGTCCATGCTTGGTTGATTACATCTAAACAAACCGTCCCAGAACTGCAGAGGAAAAAAAAAGTGAAGAAAAGAAGAAGTGAATTTCACATCTTTTGCCCAGATTTCTAAAAATGTTCTACATTCTCTATTGATTTTGAAATACTTGCAATTCCCCTGACGATGTGTTTTATAAAACTTATGTAAAAGCAAATTTATATCTCTTTTATACTCGATGATGAACAGGCATGACCTATTTTATTTGACTGTTATTCAACACATAAAAGTCTCTTTTATATGAATTTGAATATTATTACTATACACAAATATTTATTACAAGATTTCTAAAGAGCAAGGGATATACATTAAAAATTCCCACTGTCTATACAATATGTCATCAAAGATTTATTACTTCTTAAATCATTAAACAAGCATTAAAAACATACGTAATGTAATAAGAGCAAAAACAATGACATAAACTTTGCAACAGAAATTACGTCATTTACAGGGGTGATAATGAGCTCTAAAAAAAAAAGTTTTTTTTTTCCCCTCAACCACACCTCCCTTGAGTAAAAAAAATTAAAGAGGATTCGCGGGAAAAAAATTGCATCTAACATTGCAATTTATTGGGAAAAATAGGGGAAAATAGGGAAGAATAGAGAAAATAAGGACAAAAATCTGGAAAATTGGGATAAATTCAGGAAAAAAAAAAATTGGGGTAAAAAAAAACAACAGGAAACCGATTTAAATCTGGTTTTTATCAGGCCTGCATTTAGTCTGTTGTCATTTGGTCAATTATAGAAATTTGTGAGAATTTTTGGAAACAAAAACAAAAAAAAGAATGTCACAACTAAAACTTTAAAGCATTCTTACCAATTTTATTTGCACGAGGAGATTGTGGACTGCTACAGGTGACGTCTTTCTAAGGCACTGCCAGGCACTGCCAGTGCCTTAAAAGGATGTCACACCTAGCAGTCCACGTTCTCGTCGTGCAAATCTAAAAGTCCCTATTGAGTCTGAGGTTACATTTTAGGCATTTAAAAATGATGAGTTGGTCTTTTGAATGACTTTTTTAATTATGAATTTTTCAAAATATTCTAAACTGCAATAGATTTGTATAGATATAATATTGTAGAAGATTTTAATGAAAAAAAGATGCAGAAAATTGTATAATTATAGCTAATATAGGCCTTCAAAAATATTTTATTTCATACGCCCTCTAAGATGAGTATGACAAATGGTTATCTGCACTTACAAATGTTTTATACAGCATTTTCAAAGATGATCAAAATGCATATCAACGACAAAATTACTGACGTAATCCATTACTCATTGCAAGCATAAAGCTAGGATTGACTGACAGAAAATATTGTGTTAATAGGGTTGCATATTTCTTTTCTCTAGATACTTTTAACATATTTGTGTTGTTTCTCAACAATTTGCCACTGTTTTATACTTTGATCAATGTCAAACACTGTCGAAAACTTGAAAGTGCAGGTAAAATCTTCTCATACTCAACATTGAGGGCATGTCAAATAAAATATGTTTGAAGGTCCACAAAAGCAATAAATATGCAGTTTTCACAATTTTTTGTCATCAAAATCATCTTCAATATCCTATATATACAAAGAATAGGGGAAAATAGTCATACATCTTTTTGTAATATTTTATAAAATACCAATTGAAAAAGTGCCAATTCAAAACCCACAAAAAAGGCCCAAATCCCCATTTCTAAAATGCCCGAAAAGTAAGTTTAGACCCATTTTAAAATTAAGAAACAATATGAATGTTCTTAGTTGTGACATTCACTTTAAAAAATATATGTTTCCGAAAAACCTCGTAAAATATCAATAACAGCTCTTTTCGACCAATTGACAATGGACTAATTCTTAAAACGAGGATAATTACAACAGGAAATGTCAACATCATAAATGTGAATAGATGTAAGTGCTCCAGGCAAGGGAATAATATTACAAAACACAAGGTATTACTTACGCCTCGTCTATATTTGGATGATATATTTTGTTCAAGAAGCCTGGATCGAAACAAAGATAACAAAAGAACAAGAAAAAGACAGTAATAAATCATGAGCTTAGCGATACTGAGACAAAACATGTTTTAGATGCACCCTAACTCACAGGTTTCTGTCAAAGATATCTTTGAGAGGATTTTGAAGATACAAGCTGCATGTCAACAAAGGAATAAAAACTTTCTTTTTGGTTCTATTATGCTTTGTTCAGACCTAACTCTGTCACTGAATTAGTTACTCTGTATTAGACACTATTTGTTCATTTGAATAATATCATACATAACATTCACAAGGTTAGTCAAACTTTCATTCATTTTTTTCTGGAATTTCTTTTTAAGATAAAATTATGATATAAAAGACCCTAATTCAAAAATTTCAATACAAAGGTTATATTTCACTTAATTTTTATTATTAATTAGGGATTAACAAATATATTTGCTCCCTTGCCATAAATTGGAAGATGAGGTATAATCGCTACACACATACGCATTTCTGGTGTAAATTGAGGAATCATATTTACACATCAGTATGTTATTACACGTTCAAGGAAACATGTATGTAGGAATATAATATACAGATGACAATCTCAAAACGTACTGCTTAACAAAGGACCTACTTTTTCCAAGCAAATATAAAAACACCAAAATAAACATATCCTATATAAAAGGGCCTACAATTTTCTCAAAACATGGACGTCCTTGTTTTGCAAGTGGTCTCAAAGTGAAGGTACAGTTCTTATGAGTGTCCTTGGTACCACCCTCCCCCCACCACACGCACACACCCATATACCTATTCTTAACCAATCTGACATCACTGGCAGATTGGGAGGGAGGGGGGGGGGTGCATCCAACCCAAGCCCTTGAAAACCAAGTAGTACACCTGTCCTATAAAAGGTGTGACCGTCATATTTCATACCTGCCAACATTTGAAAATGAGAATTAAGAATTTTTAGCACGGTATGTCTTCGAAAATAAGAAATCTGTACCCTTAACAGGCGTTCGCACATGCAGCGGCAGTGTAACTGGCAATACGCGGTAAATCTGTGCAAAAAAGCGAATACAAATTCGCTGCTCAATCATGCAGCCCTTCAACGCACGCAATATGTGAACTCTCACATCGCGGCATATGATAAAACAAGCTTAATTTGGCTTAAGCAAAAAACAAACACACATAAAAAAAAATTTTAAAAATGAAATTTTGAAAATCAGGGATCTCCCGCATTTTGGGGTCCTAAAAATCCAGAAAAACGGGATATTCCGGATTATTTGGGAGGGTTGGCAGGTATGATATTTGATTGAAGGTGATGCCCATTGTTTCAGCTGTCTGAAGAAGTTTTTGTTGTTGTAAAAAGGCACTGAAAAATTCTGTGGATAAACCCCTTTTTCCTCTTTTATCAGCAAAACGTATATATGCCCCCTTTTTACAGAATCCTGTACCCGCCCCCTATGTATGTATGATCATGTTAATATACACTAATACTGAGTCACCGTGTCTCCTATTACCAGTATACATATGTTTTTAAACTTTCCAGCTATCAAAGTGTGACACACTGTTCAAAGTTTCATCAGCCAAGGTTATTATGTGGTTAATATGGCATACAAGATAAACACTATGGTTTATCACTTTGCAGTAAAAAAACACTGATTGGAGTTCTACTGTAGGGGGTGCTTGACCACTCTTTAGGCATGAGGCCATGATAATGAATGTTATCATCAGATATGAAGACTGCTTTAGATCCCACAACAGCCTTACAGCCATTGAACACACCTTGTACATACATGTATAAGACTGCAATGTAGTTTCAGATAGTTAATCATTGACAGTGTTATATTCTTTTCTGATTTTGAAGTAGAATAATGATTGTAATTAAAATATAACAGGCAGCACAATGAAGCCGGCATAAAGAAAATAAACTAGAAACCACCAACAACAAAAAAAGAAAAACTAGAAATTCTTACTTAGCTATTTGTACAAGCCTGAAATCTGATATGTACATTTAACCTCACAAGTAGAATAGTAGAAACGCCTCACAAAGGGCATGTCCTCATCAGACCGAAGTAACCCGCAAAATAACCCGCTATTTTCAGACTTAGGATATTTTCCCGAAGCTCGAAATTGTGTTTTCACCAGACCGAAACGCTCATCACAAACTAGATAAAGACAGGCAATTTTGGAAACAAGACCAAGATTTCTCTGGATATTTTCTCGACCAAATAACCCGCTAATAACAAAGCGGGCTGTTGAAGAAGCAAATTAGCTGGCTTATTTGAGATCGGGCCAGTTAAAATAATGGGTTATTGTGCAACTTCGGTCTGATGTAGACAGGCCTACAATGCACAAGTATAGGCTTGACTGTACTTACCAATGGAAGGTGACTTATAAGGATACTTGTCTGGAAGATCTACTCTGACTTTCCATACTCCTCCCTCATAGGCCGCTACAAACAGAGAAAGAAAGGAACGGAAAGAAGAGGGAGAAAGAAAGATCAAGAACAAGATAAAAGTTATTCAAACAAAAAAACAATTAGAAGATTTTAGGGAATTTAGGGAATTTGAAAACAAAAATAACATAGAGAGATTTAAAAACAGAAGGAAGAATAAGAATAGGAGAGAGTGAGAACAGGGAAAAAAGGAGGATGGGAAGGTAACAGTAGTGTTTTGAAAGTGGTAAGAGAAAATATATACTTATGACTGTCACAAGGGAAAATAGATCAAAATACTTGACAGAATAATATACATTGTGTAAAAAGCTTTACATCTTTTTTCCCCAATAGAATAGGAAAACAAATCAATATACATATCATATGTGTTGCCAATTTAACATTTTACCTATACATATTTTATCCATTGTCCATGATATACTGGCAAAAATTAATTTTACTTTCTTTCCCTTGGACTTGAACTACTCTACATTGATCAATGTGTTTCTGATTTTGCCACCACTATTTCATCTTTTTCATTTGTTCATTTTTATTGCCATTAATGCATGTGATTTGCAGAAGTACATCAATCACACGTGACAGATTCTCACCGTATAATTATTAATGATAACAAAGGCCTGACATCCCTGAAAATTATATTCCAGACAGACCACTCTAAAGCCCTGAATGGCCTTAAATATATGTCCAGTATAACAATCGCCATACTTGCCCGAGTTGAAAATATTGTAGGTTATATTAGAACTGAGATGTAATCATTCACTTAAAGTCACTTACACCCTGTTCCCTCTATATAATACAGGATCACCATGAAGTGAAATGAGTTTTCAGTTGGGAAGACGTACCAAGTATCCTCTTTGTTTTTATCACTATACACAGGCTGTAATTTGACATTTCAAGAAATCCATTTCACATCATGTCCAATCATGGACCCTGGTCCAATACAGAGCAAATGCAATATGGGTACCTGTAATGAAGTAAAGAGGACCTTTGGGAGCTATAATAAATGGCAGTGTTCATTCCTCTTTCTCAATATAAAAACCCAGTATATTTTCTCTGGATCAAAGTCCTGGGGGGTGTTTCACAAAACTTGTCATCAGTGACAGTTTTTGTTATAACTTATAACAAAAACAGAAGCTGAGCTACTGAAATCCCTGCTTCTGATTGGTCATCATCAGATTTGTCACTGACTTTTGTCATTTGTCATTGAAAAAAGGCTTTGTGAACCCCCCCCCCCCCCCCTGGACTACAATATTGCTTGGAATATATGATTTGTATGTGACACAATTAATTGTCACAGTCCACTGCCAGTTCCAGTAGTTGAAAAGAGTTAATGATTACAAGGATTGAACAGTGTCCTAGAAGGCTCCTACAAATCAGTATAGGGTGGTTCCCCTACAATGATTTATCATTATATACTTACTTCCTTTAGGTCCGTAGAATTTAACAAGGAATTCATTCAGCCCACGTAGAATAGTCACTTCTCGTTTTGCCTCAATCCTGATTGAATAAAATACTTGAATTAAGGAGAAAATATGTCAATACTAAATAATACAAGGTACAGTGGACCTTTAGAACTCCACGGACACCTACAGATACAGAGGAATGTGTGAAATAATTTTGGACATGTTTATCATTTTCCATGTACATGTACACTTTATACATACGTACAGCACTTTGTTTCTCACTAAAGCTAGCAAGACATGCATGTAATTGGTGTCATATTTTTTGTGTTTTACATGTGATGGTGAAATATGGCAAATGCTTGCAATTCATAAAAAGGACATTCACTAACAATTTGCAAATGTTCAAGGCATTATTAAGAGTGGCTAGTTTTGACAGAAAATGACATCGAATCTACATTCTGCAACATGGGTATATAAAGATCGCTAGATGTGTCTTTTGGCCTCCTGCTAATACTTTGACATTTACATCCCTTCATAGTATGATATCTAACACAGATACAGACACTTCACTCCAACCCATCACTAGCTCCCACCTCACCACCTTAAACATCCACACATTTCATTGTTTGGCTCAGGACTTAAATTTCATCACTGCAGGAGAGATCCATGACAATAAACCAGACTATAATCACTGTTAAATGTACATCATGTAGACTTTAGGTTTGCGATCCAAATCAAATCACAATAATGCATACACAGCAGATGTATTTTGGATTAAAACATATACTAAGCAAACCAATTAAGACACTTGACTCAGGGGTGTCTCCTAGTAAGTGTTTGTGATGCTTGACTCAAGGGGTCTCCATTCCTTCTCCTAGTCACCCGTTGTGTTACTTGACTCAGGGGTCACTATCCCTTCTAGTCACCCTTTGTGTTACTTGACTCAGTGATCTCCACCCCTTCTCCTAGTCACCCGTTGTGTTACTTGACTCAGGGGTCACCATCCCTTCTAGTCACCCTTTGTGTTACTTGACTCAGTGATCTCCACCCCTTCTCCTAGTCACCCGTTGTGTTACTTGACTCATGGGTCACCATCCCTTCTAGTCACCATTTGTGTTACTTGACTCAGGGGTCTCTATCCCTTCTAGTCACCCTTTGTGATACTTGACTTTAAGTAGTCACCATCCCTTCTAGTCACCCTTTGTGTTACTTGACTCAGGGGTCTCTATCCCTTCTAGTCATCCTTTGTGATACTTGACTTTAAGTAGTCACCATCCCTTCTAATCACCCTTTGTGTTACTTGACTCAGGATCGAGTCACCATCCCTTCTAGTCACCCTTTGTGTTACTTGACTCAGGGGTCTCTATCCCTTCTAGTCACCCTTTGTGATACTTGACTTTAAGTAGTCACCATCCCTTTTAATCACCCTTTGTGTTACTTGACTCAGGAGTCACCATCCCTTCTAGTCACCCTTTGTGTTACTTGACTCGGGGATCACCATCTCTTCTCCTAGTCACCGTTTGTGATACTTGACTCAGGAGTCACCATTACTTCTAGTCACCCTTTATGATACTTGACTCAGCAGTCACCATCCCTTCTAGTCACCCTTTATGATACTTGACTCAGGGGTCACCATCCCTTCTAGTAACCCTTTATGATACTTGACTCAGGAGTCACCATCCCTTCTAGTCACCCTTTGTGTTACTTGACTTTGGGATCACCATCTCTTCTCCTAGTCACCGTTTGTGATACTTGACTCAGTAATTTCCATCCCTTCTCCTATCACCCTTTGTGATTCTTGACTTAGGGGGGTCACCATGCATCCCTTCTAGTCACCCTTTGTGATATTTGACTCAGTGGTGACATCGCTTTTCCTAGTGGCTCTTTGTATAGTGGCAAATATAATCAAAAATTAATATTGAATTATGGACATGGGGTGTTTTCAATTCAATTTACAGTATTCAAGATGTTCACAAGAGTATCTTTCTCTTCTGCTCTCTTTCTTCATTCCGAAGTGACAAGAATTACTTCATGCCTTCATATTCCAGATTATTGGAGATAAATGCAGACACTCCATTGATCCTAGTAAAGTTCTTCTCTACATCCTTTCACATAGGTACATGCGTAATATTTCATCATTCCCTTTATCCATTTTGCTTACTACATGCATGTTTTGTCTATACTTACAGATTTTTTTTCTCTCTATATATAATCATACACTATAGATTTTTAAGTGAAATCTAATCTAGCTCTATCATGAATCTCAGTTTCAATGTTTTTTTCTTTCTATTAATGTAAGATGCTCTCTTCCCCCCCAAGGAATTGGAATGGAATATAAAGACAAAATATTTACATTACGAAATCCATACATACTGCAGGGAATATGGGGCTTAAAAGTTAAAGCTTGCATCTGAAGCAACTTCTCCATTAGCAAATCGCAGACAATATCAAATTGCAATGAGCAGCCTTCAAGTCACACATATGTATTGCACATGGCATTGGTGTATGCTTGGGTCTATTTAACGAAAACTGCAATTGAGCTTACTGTGATTACTTGGACTCCACTCCAATGGAATGCACGACCCTATGATCTTGATCTAATTAGAAAGCTTAGAAGCTACTTTCGTTTCAACTTGCATTACATTAACACAGCCACAGGGGAAGCTAGCTGGCAAGATAAATAAGTTGTAATGAATTCACATGATTACATGGATGTCAAAGTTGAATGGAACAAGAAAAAAGAGAGTTTGAATTTTTGATCATGTGTTTCTTCTTCGGAGTATATCTGACGAAAACTCTTTTATTAATTTTGCTTATTACACTTGACTAGTTTTACATACGTACGTACTGCACTTGTACATGTACATGCACATGCAAAACAAAGGATCTTCTTAAAGGGATTGAGGAACTTTGTCTCAGATTCTGAAACAAAATCCTGGATTTAGCTCATGCTGCAATAATAATTATAAACCTTTAGGTACATGTAAGTCAGGAACCCATGACTTTTACAAGCCGATCGTCTGTCTGATTATCAAGATATTTATGATTGGAAATCTTAATCAAATTTTGTGTTTTCCTAACGGTTTTCATAGCACTATAGAGAGTCTATTGGGGAAAACGAGTATGGTAAAACCGGTCACTCAAAGATTTTTACTTTTTTGAGGCACTTCTTGATCATTTTGAAGTGCCATTTTTTTAAGAGCTTCAATATTACACCATATCACAGACACTGATAACACGTAGGGCCGTGCATCTCAGATTTAACATTGTTAAACAATGCCTTAAAGTGTATATGTATCTCAATTTATCTGAGTTTTGAAGCATTACACTATCCATATTGGAGAAAAAAGAAAAGATATGATGAAATATTCATCTTCCTAGGGGTCATATATTCTATGTACATCTACAGGAGAACAACACACTGTTAGTCATGATGGATGGTATTGATAATATAAGAGCTATTGAGAGCTCTGCTAAGACTTTATAAAGATGTTGGGGATGGGACCGGAGACGATCAACTCATTTATCATCTTTTCCAATAAAAGACCATGATGGCAATGATACCGAACAGTGCAGTTTTGTCTAGTTTTAATGATTTATTTTATTTAACAATAAATGTACAAACTGTAAACTATTAAACCACTATTAAACCAGGGACCTACCATTATTAAACAGTGCATCAATTCAAGCAAATGTGAAATTCTGGGTATAGTTCTACATTAGAAACAATAACATGAGAACCCTTAACCTTTTAAAAACCTTCTCTTCTTTAATAAAGCAGACTTTATCAACACATTATTCAAGAATTGAGGAAATGAAGAAGACCAAATTTGCAACATTGCTGAAAATACAACACATATTTTTGTTACCATCCCACATTGTATTATTTTTTAAAGCATGTCCTGTGCCTTGTGTTAGTGTAAGACTTGTCATGTGCTATGACTCACAATGCTAGTCATAGCTCAACTTGTTGTTAAATCATTCCTAAGAATCCTATACCAGTTCAACCATACATGCATGTATTCGTCCTGTTGGACATTGTGGGCTTGCAGGCAAATACACATTCAATTCAAAGTGTTGCAGGATGTTTATCATGATTCATATATTCCCTGATGAGATATCTTAAGCTCTTATTCTTACCTATATGTGTCTAAGTACATATTTTCCAAGCACATACTTGGCATTTACAATGCATCTAGAGACGATTTGCATCATATGTGAGATGAGAAAACATATACATATTATAATCAAATTTAAATATTCAATGTATTGATGTACATTTGTAAGCCTGCTTACGCACAAATTAATAATTATTAAGGAAGCAACACTGAAGACAAATACAAGTAGCATTTATGCAGTCATTTATTGTAAAACTGTTGTCTGCTTATATAGCATTGGTAATTTTTTCACTCCATTTCAGATCAATAGATTCATGTGCAAGAATAAAATTAATTTTGTTCACGAGAACTGTTCTGTGGATTTCTTACAAGATCAGTGATATTTCCTCAGGGGCCAATTTCAATATTTAATTGTATAAAGCTAGATCTATGTTTTGAGCTTTCCAGAGCAACTTGTAAATAACTGTAAGCTCTATAATATTTTAATTGTAAAAGTAAGTCATTTTAAAAGATTGCTTTTGAGGTGACTATTAAAGAGTCGACGCAAACAAATTCCTAGGAATTTAAACTGAATTTCTTTTTTCTAGGAAGGTATCACTTGCATTAATTTAAGTGCAATAATCACTAATCTTGTGTAAATGTTTAAGAGCAGTTCATTTAAAGTATTAAATAGAAGCAAGCTATTGAAAAGGTATGGAATGCAGACTTAAGAATTAAGAGTTCAATGACGTTACTAAAATGTTAGACAAAAAAAATAGCTAATGAGCATTATACAAGTATATTGCTTCTTTTCTTTTCACTTGTAAGAGGCACATACATGTAAATGTATCACATTATTAATGTGTATTGCTCAATTAATTTTTCTGTAATTGCATCAAGGTACATGCATGTACATAATAGTGCTACTAACTACATCAAGATGCAAGTTTAAGTTGATAGTTACTAATAGTGAATAACATGCAACTGGCTTTCAGCC